AAAAAGACCCTAATTCGTTTCTTAGGAAGGGGCCCAGAGGCTCTGTGGCTGCTTGCTGCTGCTCTCAAGCTGGGGCAGCAGCAGCAGCAGCAGCACTGTTGCTGGTGCCGTAAAGCCGCAGCAGTAGCTGCAGCAGTAGCTGCAGCAGTAGCTGCAGCAGTAGCTGCAGCAGTAGCTGCAGCAGTAGCTGCAGCAGCTGCCGCTGCTGCATGTGTGAAGCTGCACTGAAGCTGAAACTGCAGCAACTGGAGCTGCTGCAGCTGCTGCAGCTGCAGCAGCTGCAGCGTGAGAGAATAAGACCCCTGCAGCAGCTGCTGCAGCTGCAGCAGCTGCAGCATGAGAGAATAAGACCCCACCGCTCCAGCAGCCTAAAGGTTCTGTAGCCGCTTGCTGCTGCTCTGCAGCAGCAGCAGCAGCAGCAGAAGCCCTTCCTCGTGCTGCTGCTGGCGCTGCTGAGGGGTCTGCGTGTTTCCAGTGTGGTTTGTGGCTCCTGCTGCAGCAGCAGATCTGTTGCTGCTGGAGCCCTTCCTGCAAGGGCTGCGTCGTGCTGCTGCTGCTACCGCCCAGCAGCAGCTGCAGCAGCTGCAGCAGCTGCAGCAGCTGCAGCAGCACAACTGTGTCGCTGCCGCAGCAGCAGCAGCAGCAGCAGCAGCACGCGCAGCGCGAGCATGGCCAAAACCCCCACCCCCACCCCTCCACCCCCCGCACGTCGGGCAGCAGCAGCAGCCGCAGCAGCAGCAGCAGCAGCAGCAGCAGCAGCAGCAGCATCAGGAGTAGCCGCCTTCCATGACGAGCGTGGCAGCTTCGAGGAGGTACTTGTCTCTTTCGTGCTTGAAGCTGGGTGGGGTGTCTGGAGGCCACTTGCTGCTGCTGCTGCTGCTGCTGCTGCTGCTGCTGCTGCTGCTGATGCTGCACTTGACGGGAAAAGGCGCAAAAGCGAACGGGCGGTGGCTCAGCTGCAGCAGCATGCTGCGGGCGGAAACGACTGAGGCCCTGAGCTGTATGTACACCTGCTGCCTCTCGCTGCAGTCCCGCTGCAGCGCCGACAGCAGCAGCAAATCGTTTTGCTGCAGCGGCAAATTAATTCCGACATAAAAAGAAACAGAGTCCAGTCCCACTTGAAGTCCCGGGATGAAGGGCACGGAGTTGGAGACCAGCAGCGTGGGGCCCACTGCTGCTGCTGCTGCTCCTGCTGCTGCTGCTGCTGCTGCGTCGTACTGCAGCAGCTGCACCAGCGCCGCGTCCGCCCGCGGCAGCAGCACGTGCAGCAGCTGCTGCTGCGGCTCCCCGGGATCGACGATCCCAGCCTCGGGATCCGATCCCGGGAAACGCCCCACAGCTATCCGCTGAATCAGCGAATAGTTCTCCCGCCCCCGCCGCAGCAGCTCTGCTGCTGCAGCAGGAGTTGGCTGCTGCTGCTGCGGCTGCAGCGACACCCACGGCGAAAAAGACCCAGCAGCAGCAAAACAAACCGAAGGCACTGGAAGCCCCACAGCAGGCAGGTAAAGGGCCTCCAAGTACATCCCCAGAGACTCAATAAACGCCCCTGCAGCAGCAGCAGCAGCAGCAGCAGCAGCAGCAGCAGCAGCAGTGGGGAGGGGGCTGGGGCTGGGCAGCGAGCGCGCGGAAGCAGCGCCGCGAGAGCCACGGCAAGCCAGCAGCAGCAGCAGCAGCAGCAGCAGCAGCAGCAGCAGCAGCGCCACAAAGGCGCAACAGCAGCAGCGAGCTGCAGCAGCGACGCGGCAACAGCAGCAACACCACGTTGCAGCTGCAGAAACAGATCCGGAACAGCAGCACGCAGCAGCAGCAACGAAAAGCAGCAGCAGCAGCAGCAAACGGTGGCACTGCAGCAGCAGAGACAAAGAGAGGCAGCAGAAAAGAGAGACAAAGGGAGAGAGCAGCAAATTGCCAACCAAAGTTAAAGTGTAGAACAGAGAAAGCAGACACTAGGGTTTAGGGTTTAGGGTTTAGGGTTTAGGGTTTAGGGTTTGCAAACCCTTATTATAGACAGGCGCCTCTGCAATGAACTGGGCCCTAAAAACCGCCTGAACCTCCGTGTCGGCTGCTGCTGTTGCTGCAGGTGCTGCTGCTGCTGCAGGTGCTGCTGCTGCTGCTGGTGCTGCCGTTGCTGCTGCTGCGGCGGCGCCGGGTGCGGCGAGCGCTGCTGCTGCTGCGGCCGCGGCCGCAGCAGCAGCAGCAGCAGCAGCAGCAGGACTCGGAAACAGCAGCTGCGCAGCAGGCTCGCTGCTGTAAGGAGACACCGACAGCAGCAAAGTCCCCGGAGACACTGTGGCTCGAGACATCACAGACCCCACAATAACTCCAGCAGCAATTGCGAAGGCGCACAGCGCCAGCACTGTCAGCAGCTGGATCGACACCTCCACCACCAGCTCTGCAAGCAGCAGCAGCAGCAGCAGCAGCAGCAACGCGAATTCCCACTCCAGCAGCAGCAGCAGCAGCAGCAGCAGCGGCAGCAGCAGCAGCAGCAGCAGCAGCAGCA